CATTGTATGACAGGTGCCTGCAAGCGATGAAGGCGGCCACAAGTAAAGTTTTTGGGAGAGTCATTTGCCCTTCTGGTAATGGTCACGGTCTCTAAAACAGGCAACCCATTGAAATATGGAGCTTTGCCTTATGGCTATAGGGAAATGTTTACTAGAAGTAACCACACCTGAAAGAACGTGCTGAGTTGTAATTAGACAAAACAGATTCCCTCTAAAAGTGATTCTCATCTTAAATCCGAAAACAACTGTCAACACACTAAGACGAATTTTTGAATTGCAATAAAGGCAAAACTATACCTTTGCCGATCCACAACGATCAACTTCTTGCTGCTACTTCTATTATACATTTGTGGTATGTTGTCCTGCAAATAAGTGATGTGCATCGAACTCTGCTGAAGCCGCAACTTTATAACAGTACATTGGTTTTTACTTTTATAAATGCCAATTAACACTGCCGGTACAAATTTGTGCCTTCTCAGCAACTGTAGAGGGACTGCTTCTGTTACCGGTGAAGCTAAGGCCTGAACAACCGTTTTAAACTAATGAAGATGACAAAAAGTATTAAAAACCTACAATCTCAAATTGGTCTGAGTGAAGCACTGAGGCCAGCGACGTTCGAAGTACATCCTGGGCAATTTTTAATGCGGTGAACATGCGCTTCGAATAATCTTTCATCACGTGGTTTTTACTGGTTCCTAGAACATACAGGACGAATAGCAAGCCAGAAAAAAATCTCTCTTATTAGAAACGAATAGATAAGCGGCCATAAGCTTCGGAAAAACTTCGAAAAATACAGTCTTTTAATGCGTTTTCGTAAATGAAGCAACAGAAAAGAATGGAGAAGTTGCTGGCTATTTGTGCTATCTAGTTTAAATCCAAACTTGATGGATTATAGAAATTAGTAATTAACTAACCAGTGATAGCATCGTGATGCTGAAATAGTGCAAGATTGCGTCGTGCGTCGGTGAGATTTTGCTTGATAAATTTGCGATTTTGCGTGGATAAATGTATGAAAGCGCTGCTGCTCAGTAAATCCGCTGCCCTTATGAATGACTGAAAATCGAGAAAATCAAACTGTAATTTGATTTATCAGCACACGGAATTCGAATTGAAACTCGCAATAAATTTTAACAACCCTTTGGAAAAAATTTCGATCGAAGATCCAAAATTTTGAATTTAATTTCAGTTAAATTAGAAAATTTACATGCCAGATTTCAGACTGCAACTCACTTAGCAGGTACAGC